ACAGCTACTTGAAGGAGCTTCCACCTCATTTTCTAGAAAACATCAGGGTAAGGCGTATACTTGCTAACTTCTAGATGTAAATTGTCGACAAACATTTTCCCAAGTAATCATGCCGCTAAGAACATAAATTCTATTAGAAATAGAATAGCTATCTCCACACATAATGTTTCAATCATTCCCTTAAATCTTAATTATCATGCCATAAGGCTTTATTTTTTACTAATTTTACTTTTCAAATGTGATTATTTATATGAAGTGTTTGTCTTATTTGTCCATGCTCCTTCATATTGTTGTATTTAGGTGTCGTCTTCATTGATTCTATATTTGTTTTCCTTAAAAACAGAGGTTCGTTGATGAAGTTGAAAAGGTTAAAGGATTCCCTGTAGATACAATTGTCCCATTTCGAGAAAAGGTTGAAAATATTAGGCCGTGTTGCAAATGTGGAAGATCTTCATCTGAGTTCTGCAGAGAGGAAGCTTATGCAGGCATATAACGAAAAGCCTGTTCTTTCACGTCCACGGCATGAGTTCTACTCGGTAAGTCCGTAGTTTATTGTTTCTTATGAATGCAGCATCATCCCGACTATATGTTAAATAAAGTTAGATGCACCTGATAGTATTTCATTCATAAATCCAATTTCCCGTCTTTTATTTTGTGAGTATTACAGCTCAGGAACATATATATACCCGCGATAATAAATTTCCCATCTATCTATACCGATGTTGTTTGGAATCCCCATTAACATAAAGCAAGAAAACATTAAAGAAACACTGTCTCATGATTTCTTTTCGGGCTGACAAAGTCATTTAAATGATTTTTTTTGTAGGGAGAAAATTATTTCGAGATCGATATAGATATGCACAGATTCAGTTACATCTCCAGGAAAGGTTTTGATGCATTTCTAGATAGGCTAAAGCTCAGCATTTTAGACGTTGGACTGACAATTCAGGTAAGTTTAGGTCCCTCCCCTAAACAAGGTTGTCGGAGACTTTTCTCGATTCTAACGTCATTTACTTTCAAACAGGGTAATAAACCCGAAGAGTTGCCTGAGCAGATCTTATGTTGTGTACGGTTGAGTGGCATCGACCACATGAATTATCATCAACTGTGTTTAAGTTGAGATCCCGCAGATATAAGTTCTGAAACATTATGTTTATAGCTATTACTTAAATAAAGAAAAAGGGGGCGGCTAACTTACGAGAAACTTGTGCACCTTCTTTGCTGGCAGTACAATTTCTGAGCTTGTTAGTCTCTAGTACCCAGAGACAAGTAGACTTCTTCATTTGCTTATCTCCCTACTCGGTTGTTATTTAGAGCCTCGCGCCCATTGCCGATGGTTCTTGTTCTCGAGTGTGTGTTTAACTAATATAAATCAACCGTTTTCTTAATCGAAATTCGTCTGTTAGGACCACAATAATTGTGAAGAGAACTGCAGAAATAACTAGTGTAAGCAGAGAGATGTATTGTGATTGTAGCATCTCAGTATTTACATATTAGAAGCATGGCTAGGATAAATATAATTGTGTGAATAATACAATACGTCGTCCGTCTTCAATATCCACCATTGCAAAGCATAGAAATATGGGGGGAAACACTTAAACCAGAGTCGGAACTGCTGAAATCCTTAACCCGAAATCTATTGAAAAAAATACAAATGATAATCAATTTCTAAAGAAACTATTTTTATTAATAAATATTTATCTTTTGCATTATTTGAAACATTTTTTTACTTATTTTTCTCATCAGTGCACAAAGTGAGTATTTTTAATGGGTTTAGATAATTGTTATTTTCTTAATTAATTGACAACGTATATTTATTTTATAGATACAGTTCAAATAATTTAGAAATGTATGTATTAATTTTGGAGAAAGTGCATAATTCAAATAATAATTAAAGCAAAAAAAAATTATAATACCAACTCGAAGAAACGTGCTAGATATCTAATTATAAATTCAAATCTAAAAATTACGATAAAACTATACATATTTTAAAAACACGAATTCATTCATAAAAGACTTGAAATACATAGATAATAATAAATGCACATTGGTTATTACAGATATTATTTTATTTTCTAATAGATCATAACATATTTCAAACATGATTCCTAGATTCATTTAAATAAAAAGTGGTGCAAACATTTTGGACCTTTTGCTCAACCGAATCAAATGGTGGCGGTTCCGCCGCAGCATTCAAGAAACTGGTTCTAAGCTCCATCCCAAAATCAGCAAGCTTATCAATGTCGGGAAAACATCCTTCACCGCCGCATTGGAGGAGAAGCAATCGGCCCACACAGCTAAGCTCGGAGTTTTGGCCTCAGAAAACATCTTGGTCTCCGTAAACTTCTCGATCGTTTTAATCCACGCCAAGAAACTGCCCACCGCAATATCCACGTACCCTAAGTCATCCCCACCAAAGTAAGTTTTCCCTTTGCTCCACTTTTTAAAGGCTTCCTCCAATACGACCGCACCTTCTACACCTCCGCCATCGCCGCCCTTTTGGCTTCCTCCGTTGAACCAACCAACACATTCCTCACGGCCGGGTAAAGCTAAATCACCCCAATAAAAATAAAACATGTTTATTGCGAGTACAAACATAACATATTATTATACAATTGTGTATAACATACCTTGTCGTCGGCATAGGCAGCCCAAAATCGAGAATGGGCGTGTTCGTAGAGATCGGAAGGGAGAATGGAAGGTGCGGAGGTCCAGACCTCGTCGATGTAGTAAACAATGTCAATGATAAGGGACTCCAGATGGGGTTATGGCCATGGATAAGGACGGGGACTTTCTTGTGAACAGGGTTTGATTTGAGAAGAAGCTCGCTTTTGCCTTGCATCATATTTTCTTGTACAAACTCGTAGTTGAGGGATTTTAGGTGAAAGGCGATTCTGACCCTCATCACGAATGGGCTTGACCATGTTCCCTGCACCTTCACTTTGCTGTTGGCCATTTCCTTTGCTCTTGGAACTGCTGCTTTTCGGATGTGTATATGGCGGTGGAGTGATCAGTTTCACACAGACTGATAGTTAGAGATATAAAGAATGTGATATTATTTACAAGTCTCGAGAGAATTTTAGAGATTGGCATAAATTAACTTTCGTGCATTCAACTTGGTTTTTGCAACTTGGAAGGTATTTGTAAGAACAAAGTTAATTGAACATGACCAGCCATTTAAATATTTTAAAGCTTCCGTGCATTTCATGCATTCAATTAATTTTATAAACTGAACATTTCATTCTAAATTGGTCCACAAACTTTTGAACATTTCATTTTCATCTTTAAATTATGACTCTCATTTTAAATAGGTCCCCAAACTTTTGAACATTCCACTTTTATCTTCAAACTATAACCCTCATTCTAAATTAGTCCTTAAATGTTTGAACGTTCCAATTCCATCTTCAAACTATGACTAATTCTAAATTAGTCCTCACACTTTTGAACATTTTAATTACATTCGCAATCTGTGACTCATTCTAAATCGGTCCTCAAACTTTCAAAATTTTAAACATTCCAATTTTATCCTCAAATATTAACCCTGTTCTAAATTATTTCTCAAACTTTTGAACATTTCAATTTCATTCCTAAGCTATCATTATATACTAATCACGTCTGATGTTAATAAAATTGTTAAAAAATTTAACTATCATGTAAATACTTAGGTGTATTATGCAATAATATGACACGACATAAATGATAATTAATGTAAGTTTTAAATAAAAGGCATAATGTCAAAATTATCCCCTAACGTTTGCATGAAGGGTCATTTTGGTTCATATTCTTTTTTTAAAGCACTTTAGCCCTCAACATTTCAATTTTTTGTCAAAATGACTCATGTTAGATGAAAACTGTTAGTTGACTAATGATCAATGCATGTTGCTAATGTGAAATTTCTACATGTGTTAAATTGTCGATGTGTCACATATCAGGTCACCCAATGTGATGATGTAACATATATCACGTCACCCAAATATGGTGATTTAGTATGTGTCACATCACACAAAGTGATGATATGGTATGTAACATGTCACATAAGGTGATGACATGACATGTGACATGTCAACAATTAAACATATGTGAAAATGTTGCGTCAATAACATTAATTAATTATTGATAGTTAGTCAACTAACGATTTTTATCCAACAAGTGTTATTTTAACAAAAAATTGAAACGTTGAGAGATTACTTTTGTCTTTATGCCTAAATAAAATAATGATTTAACTTTTAAACATACAAAAATTATAAATAAATTGAGAGAACAAAAATAAAAATGAATGTGATATAATGTTTATTATTTATGTCACATCGTATTATTATATAATATACATCAATATTTATATGGCAATTATTTTTTCAACTTTTTTTATTAACATGAGACTTGATTAACATATATCAATAACTTAAGAATGAAATTGAATCATTCAAAAGTTTGGAGATCAATTTAGAATGATGGTCAAAATTTAAGGATGAAATTGAAATATTTAAAAGTTTAAAGATTAATTTAAAATGATAGTCATAATTCAAAAATAAAATCAAAATGTTCATAAATTTTAAAATAAAAATCGAGAATGTATGATAGAATTAATTCACTCTATTAATATAAAGTAATTTTTATATTAATTCACTCTATTAAAATAATTGCATTTTGTTTTAAAGTTGCAACAAGTTACTATTAAACTGTTATTATACTAGAAAAGTAACATGTAAATAATATAACATTTATGGAAGAAGAACAATCAAATTTAGGAGAAAAATATAGACTAAAATGATAAATATTTTAAACATGAAATGTTAGATCCATTGAATTGTTTTAAATTATGATCAAATTGATAAATTGTATAAGTTTTAAGAACTACAACTATTATTATATCAAGTTACGCCGATATTATGTCTAATATTTAATGATGTAGTGACTTGTTTATAAGAATATTTTAATTGAGTGATTTATTTATAAGTTTTTAAAAAAGTAATATATTTATTACCAAACTCATAATTAAGTGACTTTAAATGTAGTTTACCCTTTTATTTTCTTTATCATAACATATCTCAAACATAATTCTCAGTTTCACTGAAAGACAAAGTAATGCAAACAAGATCAAAGAAGGTAAAAACACAGTCCAAGATTTTGGACCTTCTGCTCAACCCATATCAATCGGTGGTGGTTGCCGCCGCAGCTTTCAAGAACATGGCTCTAAGCTTCATCCCAAAATCAGCAAGCTTATCAATGTCGGGGAAAACATCCTTCACCGCCGCATGGGAGGAGAAGCAATCGGCCCACGCAGCCAAGCTCGGAGTTTTAGCCTCAGACACCACCTTGGTCTCCGTAAACTTCTCGATCACTTTAATCCACGCCAAGAAACTGCCCACCGCAATATCCACGTACCCTAACTCTTCCCCACCAAAGTAAGTTTTCCCTTTGCTCATCTTTTTAAAAGCTTCCTCCAACACGACCGCACCTTCTAACACCTCCGCCATTGCCGCCCTTTTGGCTTCCTCCGTTGAAACAACCAACACCTTCCTCACGGTAGGGAAAAACTACATCACCACAATAAAAATAAAACATATTTCTCGCGATTACAAACATAACAAAATATTAATATATATATACCGTTGTGTATACATACGTACTTTGTCGTCGGCATAGGCAGCCCAAAATCGAGAATTGGCGCGTTCGTAGGGATCGGAAGGGAGAATGGAAGGTGCGGATGTCCAGACCTCGTCGATGTAGTGAACAATGATAAGGGACTCACAGATGGGGTTATCGCCATGGATAAGAACGGGGACTTTCTTGTGAACGGGGTTTGATTTGAGAAGAAGCTCGCTTTTTCCTTGCATCATATTTTCTTCTACAAACTCGTAGTTGAGGGATTTGAGGTGAAGGGCGATTCTGACCCTCATCACGAATGGGCTTGACCATGTTCCCAACACCTTAACGTTGCTGTCGGCCATTTCCTTTGCTCTTAGATCTGCTGCTGTTTTGATGTGTATATGGTGGTGCAGTGTTGATTATAAGGGTGGAGAGAATTTTTCAGATTGGCCCAGCTCTTTAATTTCCACGGAATACGTGTGCAAGGGATTTTCTTTTTTATTTATAGATTGAGACATTATGCTTAAATATTCTCAAATCCTTTATTATATTTTTTAACGGTATTAATAACCAATACACTCCGTTGACTTTCTTTATGTATATAAAAACAATAAAAACACATATATATTTTTATAGTTAATTACATTATACATCCTCAAACTATGAATCTTATTCTAAATTATTCCTTAAATTTTTGAAAATTTCAATTTCATTCTCAAACTATGAATTATGCTAAATTGGTCCACAAACTTTTGAACATTCTATTTTCATCCTTAAACTGTGACTCTCATTCTAAATTGATCCCCAAACTTTTGAATGTTCCAATTCCATCTTCAAACTATGACTCTAATTCTAAATCAGTCTTCAAACTTTTGAACATTTCAATTTTATCCCAATTCTAAAATAGTCTCCAAACTTTTGAATGTTCCAATTTCATCCTCAATCTGTGACTCATTCTAAATTGGTCCTCAAAGTTTCAAAATTTTAAACATTCAAATTTCATCATCAAATTATGACCCTATTCTAAACTATTTCTCAAACTTTTGAACATTTCAATTTCATTCCTAAGCTATCATTTTATCCTAATCACGTCTTATGTTAACAAAATTGTTAAAAAGTTTAACTATCACATAAATACTTATGTGTATTATGTAATGACATAAATGATCATTAATGTAAGGTTTAAATAAAGGCATAATGCCAAAATTATCCCCCAACGTTTGTATGAATGGTCATTTTGACCCATATTCTTTTTTAGAGCACTTTAACCTTCAATATTTCAATTTTTGGTCAAAATGGCCCTGTTGGATGAAAACTCTTAGTTGACTAATGATCAATGTATGTTGCTTATGTGAAATTTCTACATGTGTTAAATTTTTGATGTGTCACATCTCAGGTCATCCAATCTGATGATGCGGTATGTATCACATTACCCAAGATGATGATATAGTATGTGTCGCGTCACGCAATGCGATGATATGATATATGACATGTCACACAAGGTGATGACATGGCATGTGACATGTTAACAATTAAGTACATATAGAAATGTATCGTTAACAACATTCATTAATTATTGATCGTTAATCAACTAACGATTTTCATCTAACAAGTGTTATTTGGACCAAAAATTAAAACGTTGAGGGATTAATTTTGGCCTTATACCTAAATAAATAACAATGTAACTCTTAAACAAAGAAAAATTATAAACAATTTGACATAATAAAAAAAATAGATGTGATATAATATTTATTATCATTTATGTCAAATAATATATTATTACATAATATACATAAATGTTTATATGACAATTAATATTTTGAGGATTAAGGGTTACTTTTGTCTTTATAATAGGCTCAATTTATCATTTTCACCCCTATCGTATTTTCGTATCAATTCAGCCCTCAAAGTTATTTAATTACATCATTCTATACCCTACTCCTAACTTAAAACCCTAAATCGATAACCCTAAACCCTAAACCCTAAACTCTAAACCATATTTTCTAACTTAAAACCTTCAATTTAGGGTTTTAAGTGAGGGGTATGGTATATAATATTATAATTGAGTAACTTCGAGGGCTAAATTGATGCGAAAATATGATAGGGGCAAAATAATAAATTGAGTCTACTACAGGGACAAAAGTGACCATTAATCCTATTTTTAATATTTTTATTAACATGAGGCATGGTTAACATATGCCAATAATTTAAGAACGGAACTGAAACATTCAAAAGTTTGGAGACTAATTTAGAATGATAGTCATAATTTAAAGATAAAATTAAAATATTTAAAAAAAATCATAATATTTAAAACATTAAAAATTTTGGGATTAATTTAAAATGATAATCATAATTCAGAAATAAAATAAAAATGTTCAAAAAAATTAAAATTAATATCATAAATTTAAAATAAAATTCGAGAATGTTTGATAGAATTAATTCATTCTATTAATATAAAGTAATTTTAATATTAATTCCCAACTGAAACTCACCACCAAAGGATGATGAGTTTGTGAATTCATCATTTATGGACTTAAATGTCTTCTTAAAAAAGTGGATACAAATTCGTAAATAATGTATATTTTAGGAAATTATTTTCTCTTAAAAATTAAAAAAAAAGACGAGTACATAATTTTTTTTATAAAGCACTCATATACGTGGAAGAAAATGTGATAGAAAGTAATACTAATTTAAACGAAATAAAACTATATATATATATATATATATATATATATATATGTAAATATATTTGTTAATTTTAATTTGATTGAATTATTGTCGATATAACATAAGAGAATGTGTAATTAACTTTATTTAATCAAAATATTTATAAGAGAATGTGTAGTTTACTTTGAACAAGTCTGAATAATTTTCTTTTCTTGAAAAAAACAAGTTTGAATGAGTGGATTCTTTATATATTGATCGAGAACATATAACATATAAAATCATTTATATTAAGATTATTCTAAAAATATTTTTAATTACTAATAAGATTATGTTATGTCATGAATTTTAAGAAGATCTAAACATGTTATTCTAAATTCATCTTTATTTGAAAAAAAATTATTGAATCTGTTGCTCCTATTGCTGACAATGTTGCATTATTATCTAAACTCATCTTAAAAAATTGATGATGTTTGAACAAGTCTGAATGAGTTGTGTATATATTGACCAAGAAAAATCTCATACATATATATATATATATATATATATATATATATATGGAATAACGGCTGATTTTTTAAAACCAATTTTTTATTTGAAAAATTTTAAGTCAAATTTATTAATAATATTAAATACTTTTCCTATTATTAACAATATGTTCATTTTTTTAACTTAATCTCATTTTATTCAACTTGATCATTTAATTGACTTTTGTAATATTCTTCTTCTTGTCGATTCGCTTATCTCTTTTATACATTCATCAATAATTTGTCATTAAAACATCTTATTTAAAAATAAAATTATAAATAAATACTATTAGTTTAGATATTATAAAAATTGTTTGATTTATTAAATAATATTACAGATCTTACTTATACATATAAAAAAATATAAATTATATTATTAGAAATTTTTTTATTGAAAACAATTCTGTAAAAGTTACAATTAAATTTAAAGAGAAACTCGAAAAACTCGACTATAAAATTTGAATCTTACAAGAAGAGCCATCAAGTCGATTGACTCAATTTTTTGACTCAGATTTGGTTGAATACTCGCCCCTTGGATAACTGTGGACATAGTTGTTGAAGTAATTAATTAACCAATTGGGGGGTGGGAGAGTTCCCACAATATCTGTCTTACACACCATATATACAGTTTTACCAAAAAGTTGTTTTCTCGAATTTACCACATTGCAAGTGAAAAGTATATCTATTGATTTGTTTTTGGTATATCTGTTGTCATCTCATGTTGCAGCATTGGGGCTTTACTTGATTTACTAATTTATCCCACATGCATAACATTTGTCTCGGTGATTGGTAATGCGCTGTGAAGTAATCCTCTATGCATCCGAACTGGCAAAAATTCAAGCTGTGTTGGTACTCCACTGCCTTTGAACTGTTGAATTTTTCCACCCACATTCCCATGCTCACATCTTCCATCTTGAATAGCTGCAACAATGGTGTTTTTAATCAACGAGTATCGAACCTAATGCTATTTAACGGCCGTTCAGAGAGTAAGTGTAATAAATGGTTCACTTACACGCAACTTGTGTTCCTCAAGCTCGGTTACAATGAACTGTGCAATGTCGGATGAGATTATGTACCCTGGACCATTTGCATAGGGTGGGTAGTCTTCTTCTGGCCATTCCTGGAAACCAAACAAAATATGCAGATTATGATGATGTGTGCATGATGTTATGCACTAAACATGATCGGGATAACGATTAAGATATGATAAGTAATTATAAGTCGGCTGAAGGCTGTGTCGACTCAGGTTAAGACCTAAAGATGTAATCACATGAGTAAACAGTAAGTTATGGCCAAAGCAAGGACATGTTTAGGTACCTACTACTAAAATTCTAAATTCCAAGCCAGTTTACTGTTGTTAAAAAGAAACCTTTCATGCGAATCAATCTAGAGCAAGTATACAAATATCACTAAAATATTACTGATTCCCGCATTTACAGCTCAGGTAGCTTCCGAGAAGCATCGGAAGCAAAATACGGTCCCCCCCACCCCCCAAAAGGATTTGCGGAGTACAGAACGGAAAACACATACCTCATATGCTACTGCCCATTTACCATCGCGCAGGGGTTTGTGGTAATAATTCATATTTCCAACATAAATGCTTTTATCTCCAAACTGCTTTGCTTCCTTAATCACAGAGTCACCTGAACAACTGTATCATCATCACACTTCATAATATATTTTGCTGCCATTGTACGGACCTGTGAACAAAAGCATACATCTGTTTAGGACTTGAGAGTTTACAATAAGAAACAATATATGGCAATTAGGTTTTTATATGCACTAAATCTTATGTTGCTCAAACACGAACTGCATCACGAATATTGGAATATGGATGTGACTGACAAAGGTATGTTCAATTTTGAAGTTTTAACATATATTTGGAGGATTACTCCAAACACCCATGGTTAAATTTGTGTATAACAGTCGTGTTAGACAACATAGACTATATCAGTTAACAAAATTTTAGCAAGAGTTGTCGGATCACCAGAGCGCTCACCCCGTATTCAGAAATGGCAACTGTCTTCAGAACAACTAGGTCATAGTTATCCAAGTAGGGAACTATAACAATATCACCAAAATACTCCGCTTCCTTTTTCAACTCAACATTTACTTCCTTTCTTCCACTCTAAAAAATAAAAGTAAATATATCAAGCATGGGAATTTCCAAAGGAAAGAACCTGTTCCTCCTTCATCTACGCTTACCA